AAAAATGTATGATTGAAAAGAAGAGAAAAAATCGTATAACAAAAAAGGGGTTAAACAATTAAACAATGAATGACAGTTAAGACCCCACAGTTTTAGTCAGGAGAGAAAGGTAAAGATTAATTAATTATATTCAATAGATAGAGGATCACATAACATGTCAACACGCAGTGGCACACCTCATCATCCAATCCTTGGGTTGTACTAAAAGAGCAGCTTCCCTTGCACGCTTCTTCATTGAGGCCACCCTATAAAAGGTTTAATTCATTTCTATTTTCATAACAAGCTCTAATATTTAATTAAATCTTCTCAAATTAATCCATGCCCTTATCTAGGTCTCGGTCCCTTTTTCAAAACCGTGCTCTCGAGTCGGTCTTCGGAAGTAGCTAAAGGAAAGTGTCTAAACGCATCCAAAGATACCAACGTGACAGCTTACGAGGCATTTGTCATCATGTTTGTTTCCACATTTGAATTGATCTGCCTGGCAGCCTCCAATTCTCATGCTGTTTTTTGTTTCTGCAATCTAATCATAGCCATTCTAGTCGTCGGAAGTTCCATGTCTGCTTCACAGTGTAACGAAGAGAAACCTTATCCTTGTCATAGTTTTCCCTATGAAAACAAAGATTCCACAAACATGAAAAATGCTGCTTCTTCATCTATGAAGGCAAAGAAACTGGTCGAAACTGATGAAGATGAAGCATCATCTATCAGTATAACATCTGTCAACAATGAAGAAAGAACTTGGGTTGAAGAAGAAGAAGAAGAAGAAGCATCTTCATCTGTCGGTATAACAATGGTCAACGATGAAGAAAAAAGTCGGGATGAAGAACAAGATGATGACGATGAATTGAGAAGAAGAGTTGAAGAATTCATTGAGAAAGTAAATAAAGGATGGATGGATGAAAAGTTGAAAACATATTGTTTAGTCCAGTGATAGAGTCAATGAAATTTAAGTCTCTTCTCTGGGTATTCTAATGGAAATTTTAGAGAAGAATCACCAAAATTAAGCACTTATTTTAGTCCAATCACCAATTTTCATTCCTTTCTCTTTTTCCCTCCCCCTCCTCCTCCTCCTCCTCCTCCTCCTCCCCGCTTTAAGACTTATTTATTTGTAATTCATTTTAATTCAAGCTGTAATTTGTTTTTATGATTGCTCATGTTATAATGGCTTGTCAACCACATGTACGAGTAGTTAGGAAGTTAGTTAGATCAGCTAGCATTCCTCTTTGGCTATATACATGTAAAGCTAATTTCATCAATGTGAATTTTCTTCTGATTCATTCTGAATAGCAACGGAGCTTCGTTCTCCTCTTTTCTGTTTTCTTTCCCTCTTTCCTCCTTGCATCTGATATAGTATCAGAGCATTAATTCTGCTCAGCACCTTCATCAAAATTCTTCTATCTCCAACCCTAATTTTCCATGGAATCGACACATCCAGAGACCAACTCCGATTCGAGGTTATCTATGAACAAATCCGCCATAGATGAATCGTCTAGTCCTTGCTTCCTACATCACTCATACAATCCTGGGTTGATGCTCATGTCTTAGCAGTTCACGGGGAGATAACTACGACTCTTGGAGTTGTGCCATGACAATTGCCTTTTCAGTCAAAAATAAGCTGTCCTTCATTGATGATTCTGTTGAAAAATCAGATGATGCGGATCCAGATTTAGTGAATTCATGGATTTGAAATAATAATATGGTAATTTCCTGGATCCTCAACTCAGTTTCGAAGGAAATTTCAGCTAGTGTGATCTATGTAAACATAGCATCTGAGATTTGGAATGACCTCAAGTAGAGGTGTCAATCCGAGCCGGGTCGGGTCGGCCTGCCAACATATGAGTCCGGTAACGGCCCGCGTAAAAAAAAGCCCGCCCATTACGGGTTTTGGGTCAATTTAGGGTCGGCCTACAAATTTTGGACTACAACCCAGGCCCGCCTGCTGACCCATTCGGGTCGAGCCCACACGGGTCATGGGTCACGAGTTATGGGTCGCGAGTTGTTCCAAAATTTTTTTTACATTGATAACAATTTTTTTTTTATTAAATGTAAACTAAGAATTGAACAAAATGATAAATTCATATTTATACCAAGAAAAGTTTTACATAGAATTCAAATTTAA